ACGATGCTTCCAAGGTAGTTAGGTAGGTGGGTAGGTGAAGGAGGTTGCTTCTTTCAGATTTCTCCCATTTATGCTGGCTGGTTGTTGTCTGTTGTTGCTACTGTTCCTTGCGGTTAGGAATCTTCATCACCTCTGTTTTTTTTATCTTCACCTGAAAAAGTATCTTACCTGGATGCTTATTCTGCCAACTTCTTGCTTTTCACTTGCGTATCTTCCAGTTTGTGAGAACTTAGACATGGAAGGATTTCTCAAATGCAGCTGAGTATCTTGAGTTCATGAGATGTTCTGTTATCGAACTATAGTCACATTTCCATTCCCCCTTTTTTTAAAAAATTTGATTCCCTAATAAAGTGAGTAGATTCTTAGGTGTGTACTACTCCCCTGTGGGTGGTTCATCGCAATTCTATTTTTACTCTGAACTTTGATTTTCTAAGATTCTTGAAAGCTCTACAGATAGAATTCATGTCATTCAAAGTGGATAGCTAAACAGATATTGGAAACATTTATTTCCCGATATGAATTTAAAACAAGTAACAAAACATGTAAACATAGCAGGATTTAATGAATTCATCAAATTTCTGCAGAACTCTTCAGCTGCTGAATACTCTAAATACAAGGATATATATACACGCTATTTGAAGTATATTGGGAGATATAAGACTGATAAGGAAATGGGGGAAGAGAGTATAAAAGATTAAAATTAAGAGAAAATTTATTGCGCTTGAATTACATCACTTATACAAACAATTAGTCATAAGGCAAAGAACTTAAGTATATCAAGAAATGCGAAATGAGTAATATTAATAGTAATAGTTGCAGTAAGAAGGCCGAAATGAGTTAAGATACTGCTGTAACGACAGATGGCAAGGGCCAGGCAACAGATCGTTTTCTGAGAAAATCAACAGATATTTATAGATTATAATGTACATTACTAGTAGCGTTATTATTAGCAGAGAAGCAATGTCTCCTGATTGGTTGTTTTCTTGTTGAAGGTCATTCCGTCATCTCTTTATTGCTATTTCTTAGAAAGTCAGGCCATATATTTGCGAAGCTTATTTGTACACGTTAAGTCTGCTGTGATTGGTTGTTGATTTCCTCAAGGTTAAGCTTTTCTTTATTGTTTTTTTCTCATGACCCCGATTGGGGACGTAACATTGACGTAAATCGCTGTCTACAATTTTGCCTATCAAACAGCTTTCACCACACTGCTATTAATAAAAGGTAGTTTTAAGTGAATCAGGAATAAGAGGTAGAACAAAGTGTTATTGCTATTAATAATAATGGTAAATACGTAAAACATATTACCATGGTAGATTCAGAGTGACTACCATTTCCTTCTGTACACAGAGACCTACTTTATAAACTCCGCTGATCACAACTATCTTCTTGTTTTTCTGTCTGCTGATGACAGTGAATGACTTGACAGCGTCAATATCATGTCCGTAGTCCACAAGATGCTTTGTTATTGAACTTTGAGTCACTTTGACTTCTGCTGTTTTCCACCACTTTGGCGAGTAGACAATCAATCGCCTTTCTGTATGACCTGTATTTTGTTTCCTTCCACAAACACACCCAAATTGGTATAGTCAGTGTGACTGTGCTGTCGGAGGTTGTTGACTGGTCTTTCCTAGATCATTGAAGCACTTGCTTGTTGGATTTAAGGAAGACATGTTTTGCAGCATATAAGAGACTAGATTATTCAGTTGAAGAGTTCTATCAAAATCAGATGAATTCATTAAATCCTGCTTTAATAACTAACCTTCGTCACTTGTTCTAGATGAATACATCAAACGGATTGAGTAACTTTAGGTTTTCAAAAACTTATTAATCTCTAGAGGTATTTACTTCTCCTGTCTTCTGAATGTTTAAGATAGAGTTAGTTATTCATTGCGAATAAATGTTCAAACAAAAAGAATTGTTCAGTTCCTTACAAACTTGTCCAGTTGATCAAATGCAGGTAAAAGCTTTCTTTGACACCCTATAATATTTGACGGAATTCTTTAGGCGTACACCTTAACTCCTTAGAAAGAAAATACAAAAACTTCAAAAATTCCTTTGATGATAATATCTGTACCCAATGAAAGATTTCGGGGAAAATTCTGGGAATTTTGATTGAATTTTTAGATTTTCCTATCGATTGATTGGACCGAAGTAATCGGTCTTAGGTTGACATGTCGGCTTCTTGTGAGCACATGCTTCGACGATGTATGGGCATTTAATTAGAATTTAATTGGTGGACGGTGAGTAGCAGTGAGATCCAGAACAACGCGCATTTCGTCCTATTTGAGACTCGTCAACTAGCTGGATGTACCTGCATTTCCCAGTGAGTCAGTGATAATGTTCCCATCACCATTCACTGAGAAATGCAAGCACATCCAGTTGATCAGTTCAGAACAGGACGAAACGCGCATCCTGGCTAGATTCCACTGCTAGTCACCATCCACCAACTAAAATTCTGGGAAATTTAGAACACTTCGGGAGAAATGTTGGGGGAATCTGTGACGATTTCAGGGTTTTGGGGAATTTAGGGTCATAGGAGGGTTTCGGATGGATACGAAGACGATGGAAGATTTAGACTTCACAGACGACTTATGTGCAGTGCCACACAAACTTGAAGATCTGGAAGGGAAAGCCTGTGACGTGTGTGCTACTGACTTGATTTATCAGTAGTATAGAAAACAGACGTACATCGGCACACAAAAAAGCACAAATGATTCATCATTTCGGTAAAACATGGGAGACACGAATGAAGGAAAAGAAATACAATACGAAAGGGGTGGAAATAGCACGGAAGATGTGTGCAAATGACGATTTTGAGATAAGGTGTACATAGTTTTGCTACATAGAAATACCAAATTCTTAATAAACGTTCCGTTGCCGACTCTCTTGACTTCTACCGTTACAAACCGATCGGTTTGGGGAAGCTATCAGCGAAGACAGGACTTTATTTTTTTATTTTTGACTACAGCTTGATTCCACACCGTATTTTTGGTACAGCTATGGAGTTCTCAACATGGATATCGGTAGCCCAAATTTCGCAGGCCGACCATAGATATCAGGTGTGCGTCGGCGTGAGCTCGAACCCCGGACCATGTGCATGGTCGACGAGAGTCCTAACCACTGTGCCACCGATGCACAAGTGAAAGATAAAGAATATAGAGGTGATGAAGTAACGTGATCACTAAAAATAACAAGCGCCAATCCAACCACCGTCATTCTACTACAGGCAGTTAGCATAGATGAGGATGTCGACGCCAAACTGGATCAGGAAGGTAAGGTATACTTTCATGACCCTCAAATCAATGTGGAAATCTAGTGCAATCATCATGAATATTAAGATTTGGATTTTTTTTCAACGCTAATTTCAAGTTAATCAGTGCCTCTGTGTAATTCAAAAACTTAGCGAATTACCAAAAGTATTTCCAAAAGACATCAGACTTCTATCAACAATAGCCTTCCCTTGATATAAAAGATCAAATGGCCAGTCGGAAAGGATGAACAGTAAGGAACTCGGGCAATGAACCACTGCATAGCCTAATGCTGAGGGGAATGGATATGGATAGGATACAAACTAAGGTGACGGCTGAGTGATATTAAGTGCCAGGCGTAACCTCGAATGGAACCTGGACACAAAATGTTTAGTTGGGCATGTTTCAAAGGATGAGACAGAGAAGTCCGTGTGAGGAGGAAGAAATGAAGGCTTGCGGAGAATCATGCAGTCAGCTGGAATGGAGTGAGAAAGACAGAATGAAATGATGAAGTGCTGTTGAAGCTCTATGTTCCACTGGGATTTCAATGGAATAGTAATAATGAAAGGAGCTTTAGGGAATTCTGGCGAAACCCACTGGGTATTTCGGGAAAATGTGATGCATTTCCTGAAACTCCCACCCAGCAAATTTTTATACTATTCTGTCCGTGTTGAACTGACCCACTGAGACAGCTTGTCTTCCCCACATGTGTTGGCTGAATAGTTACTTCTTAAAAAATATCTGTTCACAGGCTACTAGAGCTAGCGAACACTATCCAGTCCGGTTATCGACGGGAGGATGAAAATGTGTCTATAGTTTGATAAAGGAACATCTCATGAACTCAAGATACTCAGCTGCATTTGAGAAATCCTTCCATGTCTAAGTTCTCACAAACTGGAAGATACGCAAGTGAAAAGCAAGAAGTTGGCAGAATAAGCATCCAGGTAAGATACTTTTTCAGGTGAAGATAAAAAAAACAGAGGTGATGAAGATTCCTAACCGCAAGGAACAGTAGCAACAACAGACAACAACCAGCCAGCATAAATGGGAGAAATCTGAAAGAAGCAACCTCCTTCACCTACCCACCTACCTAACTACCTTGGAAGCATCGTCTCAACTACAGGCGGAGTGAATTGACGAGGATATCAAAGCAGTGAGGATCGGGAAAGCAAGGTAAGCTTTCATTTCTCTCAAGTCTGTGTGGAGATTAACAGCACTCAGGATCCAAAATAACATCTAGATTTTCAACTCCAATGTGAAGCCAGTGCTACTTACTGTACTGATCAGAGACTTGGCGCCGCACCGTGTCACGAAGGCCACTTCAAACAAACTACAGACATTCATCAACAGCTGTCTTCGCTCAATACTTCGCTCAAGATGAGATGGCCTTTCAGAAGAGATCACCACAAGGGATTTCTGGGAACGAAACAACCAGGAACCGATTGTACAAGAAATATGCATCCAGGAAGAAATGGAGGTGGATTGACTATACTATGAGTGAACCATCAAGTGTCATCACTAGACAATCCCTTGAGTGGAACCTGAAAGGGAAGCGGCAAGTTGGTCATGTGTAGACAGGAGATGAAAGCATGTGTGGGCAGACTTGGAGCCAGGTGAAAACTTTGGCAGAGAACCGAATGCAATGGAGACGTACAGCTGAAGCCGTATGTTCCTCTAGGAATTAAAGAAATAATAACTGTAGCCTATTCTCACTATTGTACTCTTTTTTTATTGATTTCACTTTTACATTAGCCAAGTAAAAAGAAGAGTCTGTTTCATTCTACTCGTGGACATAAAGGAAACGATGAAGTTGAAGAACTTGTCTGCCCTGTTGAAATTGATCCTAATCATATGAGTATATTTGTAAGTGAAGCATGCTTAATAATTTGTTAATTTTTTCTATTAATAATAATTATTATTATTGTATCCTTTAGTTCCTAGAGGAACATAGGGCTTCAGCTGCGCACCTCCATTGCCTTCGGTTTTCTGACAACTTTTTCACCCTGCTCCAGGTCTATCCACATGCTTTCATCTCCTCCTCGCATGACCTCCTCCAAGTCACCCTTGGACGACCGACTCGCCGCTTCCCTTTCGCGTTCCACTCGAGTAATGGCTTGTCTAGTGATGTCACTTGATGGTTTCCTCAGCGTATGGCCAATCCATCTCTATTTCTTCCTGCCTATTTGTTTCACAATCGGTTCCTGATTGGTTCGCTCCCAGAGATCCCTGTTGCTGATCTTTTCCGGCCGGCCATCTGATCTTGAGTATTGAACGGAGACAGCTGTTAATGAAGGTCTGTAGTTTGTTTGAGATGCTCTTTATGACTCGCCAAGTCTCTGATCCGTATAGTAGCACTGACTTTACATTGGAGTTGATAAATCCGGATCTTATTTTTGATGCTGAGTGCTGTTGACCTCCACACAGATTTAATAATAATAATGATTTACTTTATTCGAAAAACAGTACTTGTGATACAGAATGGAATTTTCAGCATTAATCACAATATTACTGCATCTAATTTCCTCAAATTATAAATAAAAATTAATCACACAGAAACTTTTCCACATTTACAATAGAGGTAGTGTCAAAAACATGCAGCATATAAAATGGAAATAGCAATAATAATGATAACAGCTAGGGTAATAATAATAAGAATACAAGTGAAAATTGCCGTGGGCTTGTGTCACACAGTATTGGCAATGTGGTATAGAAATCCTAACATGTTTAGAAATATTGAATATAATGTTCTCTTTACATGGTATGGTGAGGGGAAAAACAAAGATTACAGCCGTCATGGAGATAAGTTGGTGTTTGCAATTATGAGAGTAAAACATAGAAGTAACAGGACCATAAATATAATAGAAGTAATAAAAGTAAAACTTGAAAGTATATAAGGATGGATGGAGGAAATTGTTAATTTACTAGATGAAAAAAGGTTACTTAATTCTTGCCTGACACTATTTTCATCACATAAAATACTTGCTCTCAAGTATGGTATCATAGAATTTTTATACTTAGACATGCGAGCGTACATTTTTCTGAAGTTACTCCTTGTTCTACCTGAGGAAATGCAAGGTGAAAGGAAGCTGAGGGTAAAGTGGATGCTCCAAGTCAGACAAAATCCCTCTAGCAACTTTGTTGTATGAAGTCAAATGCCTATCGGCAACAACATTAAGTATGTGGTCCACTAGGGCACCACTCACCCTACTGACCGTCTTCAGCATTCTACGAATTGTGACATAGTCGTTTTTAAGCAAACCAGGAAAGAATAAGGGTGAGCAATAAAGAAGAATAGGTAGGATGCAAGAGTTTATGAACTGTAAGAGGAGGGGTTGAGTTATACCCGAGTGTCTTAACTTCTTAATGTAAAATGTCAGACGGAATATTTTACTGGAGATTGCTAAGACATGGGAAGATCAGGAGAGGTCAGAAGAAAGAGGATAAGTCCAAGATCCTTAATTTCTGATTTGATTCCTATAGCATTTTTACAACAGAATGCATAAATTGAGAAGTGAAAGAGGAGTTTATAATACATCGATTGTGTAGTAGAATGTATACAGCGAAGAAAATGCTTCTTTATCGACGAAATCATCTTCACAGGTGGTACACTCGTATTTATATTCATTAGAATATGTATAGTAGTTCATTAGTGAGTAATAGAGGGGCGGCGATATAATTGAAATAATTACTCAGATGTGGCTTCAAAAGTAAAAATACAAGTCACAAATTACGCGATACTCAACGGTACAAAGGAAGAAGGAGGATGATGAAATCCTTCATCCAGTCAAACAAAATCCCTACAAAAAATCAATATTTGAAAATTAATCTGATGCTCACTAGCGACTGGCCGTAGTCAGGCAGTGACCTGGGGTTCTAGTGGGAAGCCGCGAGTGACCAGTAGGGTACAGCAGGTTGAAGATGAGACAGACAGTAATTCATTGAAGAAGACATTGCGAAATTGGTCATGGTATGTCGTGGATTGTCAGAAGTTAGAGTTCACGAGCTCACCTTGTAACCAGAAGTTCGTGAGTTCGAACCCCGGTGGTGTGTGCGTAGTGATGAAGGCACCCAAATTGTTGGGACGAAACAACTGTCCAGTACTGCTAGCTTGTTTTTCACTGGTTCTCTAACTGATGTCAGCTCATGATGAAATCCCCCATCCGATCAAACTAAATCCCTACAAAAATGGTACATTTGAAGAACAGAAAGAAAGGCATATCTACGATTTTCTGAACATATACTAAAAGGCTTATGTCTAAAGGGAAAAAAATACTGCAGACACTGACATTGCCAGGCATCTCTTTGACACGGGTGATCATGAGGTGGACGTCGCAAGAGCGTATAAAATCATCAGTAGGTAAAAGAGTTCCATTCTCCTCAAGTTTGCTGAAGTCATCTTCATCAAGCGCCTGAAACCTGATTTATGGGTTCAGAAAGAAACAGTTGTCAGTCTTTCTTTGCCCATCCTGGTAAGTGGGTAATTTCACCTCTTTTTCATCTGATTACGTAGTGTCGAAAGTTTCCATTGTGTATGATCACTGTTGTTCGGAATAATGTTTAATATTGTTATATATTATTACTGTATGCATATATTGATTGATTTTTGTTTAAAAATGAACTGTCTGTGCGAGTATGTTAAAATTGTTTCTGTAGATATACTTAATAGTGAATGACTTTGGCCTGTAAACAGCTGATGAGAAGGCAACGAAATAAACGGTGTGACGTTATCATTTTATTCTGTAAAAACCGTTGTTTTACTTGCTTTATCGGTTTTTATCTATAAACATTCAAGTTTATGAGACAGGGAACATGAATCATCCACATAATCAAGATATTCGAAGATCGTTTTGTTGGTCCAACCCATGACCATTTCCTCACTTCCCATAGTCATCCGCATGACCCAGTTAACCACACATACGAAGATAATCAGTGATAATGCCCAACCTTATATTACTCCTGCCTTCACTGTTATTCCTGTTCCCTTGCGTTCCGAGTGGAACATAGGGCTGGCTTCAACAACACACATCTCCACTTTGTTCTGTTTTCCGCCGTCCTATTTATCTGGGTTGACCACGATTGACAAGACTCTCTCATCTCTTCCCCACACGATATCTCCTCCATGTCGCCCTAGCACCGACGACCCCCCTTGTCACATGCTTCCCATTGGGACTGCACTCGAGTGATGGCCTGCATTGCGCGTGATGTCATTTGGCCGTCTCCTCAATGTATGCCCAATCCATCTCCACTTTCTCTTACATATTTGTTGGGCGATCTGCTCTCGCTTATTGGTATGTTGTCAGCCAGAGTTTCTTGTTGCTTATCGTTTCTGGCCGGCTATTTGATCTTCAATATGGAGCCAGCGAAGGCACCTATTGATGAAAGTCTGCAGCTGGCTGTTGGAAATCCTTTTCGTGAGACTCAGTGCAAGTTTCTAACTTGTATAGAAGAACCGAGTTTACATTGGTGTTAAAAATGCGAATCTTGTTCCGTATGTTGAATGCGAAAGATTTACAAACTGATTTCAGGTTGATGTCTTGGTGACCGGAATAGATTATTGACTCTCCCACTGACAATGTTGTCAATCCACATCTATTCCATCTGATTTTGTAGTTACCCAGCACTTCTAAGCCATATCTTCGCATCTCTTTGGCTATCTGGGCAGCCTTCCCAGCTAGTCTCGTGCATTGTACGGACATTCCACCTACGCATTCTTATTCTTGTTTTCATCCGGAGGGAAGACAGATCGGCTGACTGACTGACTGGCTTGCCGAAGGCCTTCATCAGCCGGCCAGCTGTGTCATTTCGCCTCTCCAATTCGAGCGAAGAATAAGATTGTTGTTTTTTTGTTTTGTTTTTTTTTTGAAGTTTTCGTATTTTTCATATATTTTCTGTGTGTGTGTGTGTATTGAAGATTCTCTAGTGGTTTGAAAGATTTAGTGGTATGGGGTTGCTAGCCCCACGCCCAACTCTCCCTCTTTACCCGATCTTGGGAGCGGCTAGAAAACTAGCGAGCTAGTTAACTCGGCGAGGTTCCCTTCACTGTTACAGAACACTTTATCATCGTGTTTTAAAAATATATTCTAAGAAATTGAATATTTGTGATAATAGGAATTTTGAATTCTTTGTATCTTTTTTTTTATTATAAACAGGCTGATGAAGTCGAACTCAACTGTCAGATCGACTGTAATCAACAGCTAGATCAAGAGTCTACAACAGCCATAAATCTCAATTCAACAAATTCTCAAGTAAGTGAATGCTGCGTTGTACTGGTGTTAAACAGTCGTGAAAGAAATGAATGATGAGCTAACCAGAAGGAATATGTGTGTGTTTGTGTATAATTAGGCCGTAGGTGGTAGTACAAACTCCTCTAAGATACACTTAATCTTGATCGGACACTAGTAACTAGTGTGACGTGTCTAGTCCTTTCTTTGGTGCAGATTTAATTCTATCAGTCAGGTTTTGCAATTTGGCCACTATTCTACGTAGCTCGTCATCCATCACGGTGCACATTGATTTGATGATATTAGATAGCTGGAGGTAATCGGCAGGAGGCCTTGGACCTAGGTTTCGTGGTAGTTGGCACTCACCAAACAGTCAGCAAGGCGTATCTGCAACTAGCCTGAAGGAACTCATGTCTCTTCTGAGATTCGAATTCGCGTTACCCAGTAAGTTCTGCAGTCAGAGACGTTATCTCTGAACCAGCTATTCGGGCTTGCAATTGACCTCCTGTAGGACTGTAGCGGGTATTTTGATTGGACACTAGTAACTAGTGTGACATGTCTAGTCCTTTCTTTGGTACAGACTAAATCTAATATTGTCTGTACGTTGATAGTTCAGTGGGATGTGATGCCCGACAACCACACTCGCAGGCACTCTTACTTCGATTCCCTGTCGATGAACTCCTAAACGTAGCTTAGTTTCAATAAGCATTTAGAAGACAATTTTCACTAGATGATATCGTCATTTCGTAGTTTCTTTACAACCGAATTACAATTAATAGGGTTCACAATAATCAGATAAAATAAAATGGATGACAATTACTCAGTTATATAAAACAAAAGTACATATTTAATGACCAATCATTTTTAAATAATTCAAGCGTACTTGTCATGGTAGGCGAAAGTTGAAGTCTATTGTTTTTTTGTACACATAGTTTACGAAGAATGTGATTAATCCACCAAATTGCTTCCATCACCTTCAATAACCAACCTTGAATTAAAGTTATGTGAAACCATTGTGAAACAGTCATTAATAATATTGATTTTGTGACCTGACATTAATAAGTGCTCTGCAATGGATGATGATGATGATGGATTTCTACTCAGATTAACTGCATTGGGATTTTCCGTGTGTCTAAATAACCATTTTGGAACATGTTCTTTTTGACTAGCATATTGGAACATTCTATTGGTTCTACCTATATAGTGTGTGTCACCGCAATTGTAGGGTGAACTTGTAGATACAGTTTGGTGTAGAGTCCACAGAATTTCATCCTTTAATCGTAAGTACAGGTATCGAAAATGTTTGACATGTGAGAGAAAGAGATGAGGCGTAGAATGTGCGTTTGTGATGGCTGAATGAAGTCTTTTAGCTACCTGTCAACTGCATAATATAGTCACCCTTGAATGGTAGGTTAATAAAGATAGACAACTTTCTTTGGTACAGAAGGTGTCTTTTCTAGATGTGGTCTATCCTTAATGTGTTTGTTTGCCAAAATTAAGCCATGGGAAGAAAAAAGATTCAGTGCGTACCTATAAATAGCACCCCTCAAGCCTCTGAAGGCAGAGGAATGAAAATAAATCAAAGGTTATCTAACTTCCTTTTGGTCAATGACAAACAATTCTATAGAGGAAACATATTTTTATAGCTAAATGTCATAGGGCAAAACAATTTATCAAAAGAATGGTTACTGAACAAGAAATATTCTTCTTGATAACCTGCTCTTCATCAAACTCTGCAGTTATATACATCCATAATAGTGAATGAATTAGTGCTATGAAAAACATTAATGTTGTTTAAATAAAATTGAATCAATGTCAATATCAATGGATTACAGTTCGATAGCGTCAACATAACAATACACTGAATATCACACAGGTGAATCAAGAAACATAATAATACAAATTCATGAATTTATAGTCTCCACTGAAGGCTGGCCAGGGTAGTAGTAGTGGCTTGACTTGCTTATTGTATACACAAAGCACTGGTTGCTTCACGCGAATCGCGACAGCCTCTGTTGTTTGGAGTATGCAGCACCTCGATGTTTTTGGCAATTTATTTGGTACCCTGTAGATGATACAGAAGGATTCTTCATTGCAAGATACCGAATAAACTGCCGAAAACATCGGGGTACTGCGAACTCCAAACAACAGAGGCTATCTCAATTCGCGTGAAATAACCGGTGCTTGACTCCTCGATGGCCACCCCATTGATTTCTAACTTCTACCAATTCGTGGTGCATTTAGTACGACTTACACCAACCAATGTCATCGGTGGGAAATCCATCCTCACTCCCGACTGGATGGATGGACCTCACTGGTCACGACTTTCCACTAGAACTTCAGGGAACTCTCTCCTGTAGGAATTAGACAATAGCAAGCATCAGATTAATTTTTGAGGATTGATGTGAAAGGATTTGATTTGTTTTTTGAGTTTGACCATGGATTGATATCAGTTATAGAACCACTGAACACAAGGCAGTACTGCAGAATTATTATCGCCTTTAATCTCCTTTGTTGTCATGTAGAATTATACTGCATGAACTTATTTAATTAAATGCGATTGTACACCTACTTGTGGAGATGAAATCGTTGAAAATATACTCATCCTTGATGACCTTCTTCGCCTTTCAAATATCCAGATAGGATTTTCCAAGATTTGAACTAAGACTACTGAAACGTTAATAAGTAGTAAACTTTTCTGAATTAAACTTTTGCCCTAGTGAAAAGTGCATATATGTAATTCTCATCAGTTCGGAGTGGAACACAAGGTTTCGACAGAGAATCTCCATTTCATCCTTTTGTTTAATATCCTCCTTAGTCTGTCCTACGATTTTTCACACGCTCTCATCTCCTCCTCATACGATCTGCACCATGTCAGCCTTGGATAACCATTCAACTCGTTGTTTCTCATACCGATTCCACTCGAGGTTCTGCTTGACTTGTAGGGCTGCTCAAGTGTCTGTTCAGAGTGTGTCTGATTCGTCACCAATACGTTCCTCGTTGGCGTACCCCGAGAATCTCCATTTGTTTATCTCAATCCGGTTAACTATCTGATCTCATTAGGTGTAGGTACTCACGATTGACAGACATCAGTAAAAACATCTAACCCATATTTATGTACCTTGTTAACTGTGTCTCAGGGATGTGTTACGCTTAGAAAATATAAACTATTCAATTTATTGCATTTCTAAATCACATTCATCGTTACTTTTATGATGTTTGTTTTTTTCTCTGTCCTGATAGCCATTAGAACTACAAGAAACGGATATATAATAAATCAGGTATGTGGCCATATTTAATCGCCGTCTATATTTTATCATTTTTACTTATTTATTTGTTCCTTTCATTAAGGGGGAGGGGGGGGAACATAGGGCCTCAACAAAGCGTGTTTTCATTCTCCTCACTCAGTTCATTGTCCTCACCTTCAGTTGGCTCAACGACTTCCAACTGGCTTTCATATAGTCCCCCAGGCCATTTCACCCTCCAACGCATAAATCGTCACTTCTTTATTGAGGCTCCATTTGAGGGACTATGTGTTGCGTGTAATTTCACCTAAGTCATCTTCTTTGTATGTGTGCAACCCATAAGTATTTCTTTCTTCAGAATCTGGCATTGATGCATGATTGTTCTGACTATAGTGGGTTCATTGATATAAGGATAAAAAACTTGGACAGTGTGGTGGTAGAGTATAACTCCATTATAGATAAATTTTGTATTTTGATAAAATCACACACTGAGTGTTGGTTATTGCAGTAATATTTACTACTGATTCGAGCACATTTCGAGTACAATTTATCACTGCTACTCATAATCATATCAAGGCACTACTCATATAACTTTCTGGCTTCATTTATGTACATGAGTAAAAGTTGATTCCATATTAGTTTGATTATTAAATGTATCACACAGTGAAAACAGTATTGTATACTGGATGACGTTTCGAACACAATTTATTGTTCATAATCATATCAATTTTTGTCACACGACTTCGAGATTTGATTTTTATAGTTTTCTCTGTCTTCTCCTATTTGTTGTATGGGCAGTAGAATTTTCCATATATCTGGGACAGGTGTTGAATCATTCCTATTACATGTATTTGCAGTTGATTCGATAAACAAAGCTTCTGTTATCAATCTCTCCCTATACCCTGTGACATTAGATTTTAAAACTGTCATCCTATCCCATCCTATTGTATGGTTGTGTGTAACTGCATGTAGTGCTATAGCTGAACTACTCTCTAGATTTCTTATCTTATTCGGGTCAACCAATCTAGATTTAGCTAGGTTTTTATGTTCGGCTAGTCTGACTGCCCCTGTTCTACTAGTTTGACCTATGTATTTGACCTCACAATCATTGCAGGGTATTAGATAAACTAAATTGTTTTGTTTTAATGGCTCTACAGGATCCTTTAACCGACAAAGCTTGTTTCTAATTGAGTTTGTGGGTTTGAATGCCACTTTTATTCCTGCCTTGTTAAGAATTCTGCGTAAGGCTTCCGAGGTTCCTTCTTTGTATGGAATTATTGTTGATGATTTACATTCCTTATTGTTGGTGTCGTTATTAATATTATTATTATCACTATTATTATTACCATTATTATTATTATTATTATCACTATCTCTATTATCATTATTTATTTTATTTTTACATTTACTTACATATTTCTTGACTAATTTATCCGGGTAATTATTAAGTTTCAAGGCTTCTTTTATGTGTGTCACTTCCTGTCTTAGATTTTCCTTGGTACTACTTAGTTTTTGTGCTCTGTCATTTAAACATTTCACTAATCCTATTTTTACTGACATAGGATGGGATGATCGGAAATCCAAATATCTGTTTGAATGTGTGGGTTTTCTGTAAACACTAGTGTTTAGCTTCCCATCTTCTTTCCTTTTTACGTTGCAATCTAACATTGGAAGTTCCCCTTCCTGACTTTCCAATTCATAAGTGAATTGAATTGCCTCTACCTTCGAGTTGATGTGCTCGAAAAATCTATCTATATCTTGTGTTCTAAGTACAGTGAATGTGTCATCTACATACCTCCACCATACTTTTGGGGTGGGGGTGAACGTTTCAATCGCTATCTTTTCCCACCTATCCATGAATATATCTGCTACCACCGGGGATATTGGTGATCCCATGGCAACTCCCTCAGTTTGTTTGTATATTTTCCCTTGGAATTTAAATACTGTAGAAGTCAGGCAAAGCTGCACTCCCAGCATTATGTCCTCAATTGGCACTTTTGTCCTAAGTTCGAGTTCTTGGTCAGAAATGAGTTCGTTTCTAACCGCCTCTATAACCATATTTATTGGTATAATAATAATAATTTTTCCTTCACGTTCCCAGTGGAACATAGGGCTCCAAGCTAGTGGCTTGGTATACGTGTATATAAACTGACAATGTCAAAACTAACCATTTTTTCTTCATTATCTAGTTTTAAATTATCTAATCTGTGTTTTACACATATATTAGTAAAAGTTGATGATTAGACATTTGAATAAAATCAATATACGATAAAGTACATTCGGAAATAATAATATGCTCTTAGTGATAAGCCTTTTCTGACTCGCATAGAAGGACCGACTTCATATTTGTGTTGAAAATCTAAATCTTGTTCCTTATGCTGAGTTGAGTGCAGAAGATTTCCAAACTTGTCTCAAGTTGATGAAGAAGGCGTATCTTGCCTTTCTAAATCTGGCTGGCTGCCCTTGGCGTCTTCATCCTTTCCGACTCCCTGTAGTTGAAACGATGCTTCCTAGATAAATGAAGGAGGTAAACTGCATTAAATTCCTCCTGTTGATGGTGATTATTGCTGAGTGCTGTCACTGTTGCTGTTACTGTTAGCTGGTTGGGTTTTCTTCATCATCTTCATCTTCTCTATGTTCACCTGAAGTCCTGCCTTCGCTGCCTGTTTCTTCTGCCAGCCATTCACACATGAAATCCAGATCTTCTGGAGTCTTCTTATCGGTCAATGCAGCGTATTCATGTCTGCTCACCCCCCCCCACTTCCCCATCATAGTCTAAAGCACAACCCAGTCCATGACAATTAGGAATGTCGTCGGTGGTAGTACGTAGCAGCCTTGTCTTACTCCTGTCTCCACTTTGAACGACCCTTTGAGTTTTCCGTTGTGGATCACCTGACACACGCGTCAGGCATTGTCATATAGTCAGTTGTTGAATGTGATTGATAAAGATTTGGGGAACTGTACGCTGTAGTTTTGAAGTTGTTTCTAAATTGCTTCTAAGTCAACGCTGTCTGTAGAAGGCCTTTTAGAAGTCGATGAAAGAATCTGAGGTAGAGGTTTGACTGCTATTCTATGCAAGGGTTAACAAACTTTAAAAGTAGAGATTGAATGATACCCACCTGATTATCTTAACATCTTAATAACCAAACTGAGAGAGTGAGTGTTTCACTATCTGAATAACTAGACAGCTACCTAGCTGGCTGGCTGGCTGGCTGTCTGGCTGGCTGTTTGGCTGGCTAGCTCAGCGAATTATTCCGCAGTCGACTGTCTGCAATCGACTCTACACTAAACTACTGACTACTCATTCACTCGCTTATTCTTCATTAACGAAAGGACTAACAAGCTGACAGATTGAAAGCCGGGGAAATTTCAACATGATGGCTGCATGCGAGTTTCCGTCAGTGGGAGAGTTGACCTGTCGGCGTCGACACGACCACCAAGAATGCCGAGAACACCGCCACACCCACCGACTGATTATTTATTCATCGAGTAGGAGGAAGAAGAAGACGTCTCAAATGTGAGATGATTGAGATAAATCGAGTGTATTCATTTATTTATCAATAATTTAGTATGGAGAGTGGAGATTTGAAAGTACACTGCATTGGTCGTCCGCCGACTTGAAATGATGATGACAAGAATTTGTTCAGGTAGGACAGAAGACTTGTTTGTATGAATGAGGTGTTTGGTTTTGGTGGTTTATTGTCTTCGACAGCCTCTACAGCAGCCTCCTGGACACTTTCCACCTCGACATCCACGGCATCCACAACACCTAGGGCAATTAGGTCATCCACCGGGACAGCCAGGACAACCACTGTTTGCTGCAGCGGCGGCGGCGGCTGGTTCTGGAACTAGACCTGCGATAGCTGAAAATAAAGCAACAAGATACCTCATTCACTTATGTATTTATTTAATTATTTATTTATTCATTCTTTCTGACTACCTTCCAACCGTCCTCCCTTCCTTCCTCCCTTCAATTCTGCATTCGTCCACCATTCCATCAGCCGGCCGATTAACAATATCACTTGCCTCGAATGCATGTCACTGTGTCATCAAGTGACTGCTTCACTCACTCACTCACTCAACCATTATAGATGGTTAGGCGAAACATTTTCTTAAAAATCAATAATAAGACTTGGGACGGCCAAGAAACGTCAGAGAATAAAACCACTCCTAGTTATTTCAGTACCGTCACCCTGCTAAAAGCCTCATATGAACATACCAGCCCGCGTAGATCACCTTTATACTCTTGTTGAAGATGAAGTAAACTATCCTTACATTTAAAAAAGGAGTATTCCATTTTATTTTGAAAAAAAAAGCAACGGAATCATAATAACAACAGTAGTAAATGTGAGTTGATCACGGATTGATATCAATCAGAGAAACATTGAAAACCAGAAGGGAGTACTGGACAGCCAGTTGTTTCGTCCTAGTATAGGAATCATCATCAGTACGCACCTACCCACAAACGCGGTTCCAACCCATGACCTTCCGGTTACAACACAAGCTTGTTAACGACTATTCAGCTACTGGGACCTGACTCTTCAATGTCCCTTCACTCCATGAATTCTAACTTCTTCTACCAATTCATGGTGCATTTACCACGATCACCAATCAATCCGTCTGTGATCCGTCTCGTGAAAACAAAACTAATCCTTACAAACCAACTGTAGAAAGAAAATTTTTAAAAAAAAAACATAAATAATATTCTTTTAACGGGTTGATCACGGATTGATATCAGTTAGAGAACCATTGAAAACCAGGGAGTACTGGACAGCTGCTGTTTCATCCTAGTTTGGGAATCATCGGAAGTACGCACCCACTGGGATTCGAACCCGGGACCTTCCGGTTACAAGGCAAGCTCGTATACCATTCAGCCACTGGGACCCGATTCAATGGCTCGTGAATTCTAACTTCTACTAATTCGTGATTTAGCGCGACCCCAACCATTGTCGTTGGTGGGACATCCGGGTGCGTACTGTCGATGATTCCCAAACTAGGATGAAACAGCAGCTGTCCAGTACTCCCTGGTTTTCAAT